CGCTCCGCGCCTCGCACCGTGTCCGCGGCCTCCGCAGCCTCCGCCTCCGCGGCCTCTGGCAACTCCACGATTGATGGCACCACTGGCGCCGCCTCCGCCGCCTCCGCCACCGCCTCCGCCTCCGCCGCCTCCGCGGCCTCCGCGGCCTCTACCTGTGTCCGAGCTTCTTCGGCAGCTTCTGCTTCCTTGGGCCCTTCCGGCACGGATTCGCCCGTTCCAATTTCAGACACCTCACCGCAAGTCCGCAAGTCGCGCTCTCACTGTCAAGGCTCTGAGATGCCAGCCGGCTCCATTGCTTGCTCCACGTGAGTCTTGTCGATTCTCTGGACGACCGGCTCCTCAAGTTGTCTGAGCCGCACGTCATGGAATTGATCATGCTTGTTCCGGTTGGGTGTTCTTGTTGATTGGCCACGCTGATGAGGGCTACAAAACACGCAAAATGTCTCCTCATCTGCGACTTTGCTGCAGGCTGAACCGGATTGGCCTCAGGTTGCGGCAAAGCGCTCTCCACCCAAGGACAACACGTATTGCTCAATAGATATGATAGATACCCTGAATCAGAAGTCCGGTCTGGGCTGCGCACTTCTCGCAGATGAAGGGACAGACAGACCTTGCACCAGATGCAAATTGCTCTCCGGGCCCGAGCTCCAGCAGCCCCGCCTGCAAATTCCACCGCCAGCTGGTCTCCACCTTCGTAGCCTTCTGGGACAAGGATCTCGAACTCCTCGAGAATGGGAAGGCAAAAACAAGTCTAAAAGGCAAACCAAGTCTAAAGAGCACATGCCGACATTTTCCACGTCCTTACCGTCCACTTGGATTGTGAACCTCGAAAACGGGTCGAAAACGCGACAAAAAGCGCGTTTTATAAGATAAACTCAGCCGAGCAGCGCGTCCCCAGCGCTCAAGGTTTCCGGGATGTCCACTTCAAACATGTTCTGGTCGCACATCTTGCGAGGTCAAAACTCTGAACGAATACTTGTATGTCGTTCCCTGCCCCCACCCACTATATAACATTGGATGATGGAAATTTAGATCAACCACCACTAACATGGTCTTCCAATTTGTGGTGACTGTTGGTGTTTGGGTGCAGGGTCCAACTTATATATATATATATATGATTATCTTCTTAGAAAATTGTCATGATTCTGAAGACCATGTCTGTCTCTCCCAACTACGCAGTGCAACTGGCAACCAACATGGCATGCGGATGCTCCAAAGCCGCAACACGCAAAGTGCTCCTTGGAGCCGTGGGCAGAAGACGACTGGGATAAGCCTGGCGATGCAAACTGATCTGCCACAGAACAAAGCAAACACCAACCGGTCCTGCGATATCCACCTCAATGACATCTCCACCCTGGCAGTGATCTGGCACCGGAATCTCGTAGTCCTGGCAACGCGAGGCTTGCCCTTCGTGGCAGCCCTGCCTGCTGGCCTTCTCATTCAGCTGCGCGAGGAACCTGGAAATCAACAAACAAGGAAGTGGCTTAGCTTGCGCATGAGACGGCATGGCGGGCCAAGGCGCATATCTCCCGGCTTCAGGAAGGGCGGGATCACCACCTCGTAGATCGAGTCCTGAAAAATGCGCAATGAGATGCAATGAGCACGCGAGTCGGCGAGTGGTTTGGTGCCTGCGATGCCGAGCGGCTGGAGGAGGGCTCCGACAGACCTGAGCGAATTTGGAATCCATGTGGCCGCTCAGGTGGCGCATTGTGGCGCTCAGGTGGCGCCGTGTCGAGGCCTCTGAGGTCGATCTCGATGGTGTCGCCTTCCTGACCACCCTCGGGCACCGAGATCTCGTAGTCCTTGCCCCGCAGGGTCGCGATGAACCTCAGCCGTGTCTCCTTTTTGTTGTTGTGGCAAGGCTCACAATGTGAGCAACAAAGCACAATGTGGGCCATGTGAGCCATGTGAGCCATGTGAGCCATGTGAGCCATGTGAGCCGGGGACCCTCCGGCAGCACAGGCCCCGGGAGGTATGGTCACCTCCACCACCTGCTCCAGCGACTCTTGCGCCTCGAGGGCTCTCGAGCAACCCGCAAGCCGCAGGCAACGAACACACAAAGTACACCCGGCCATCTCGAAGGACTTGGAGCTTGACCGAGTCACCGCGCCTTGGTGCCACTCTGCTCTCTTTCTCTCTCTTCTTTTCTCTTTCAGACTCTTTCCTGTCATGCGCTTGCTCATTTTCCTGAGTTTGAACTCTCCCCAACTCCCTTTCACGAGTTCTTAGCCCCACCTTCACGTGTCAGGGATGAAGGAACCTCCATCTCAATGACGGTGCCCGGGCCGCACTTCTCGGGCACCACTACCTTGAACTCCACCCCGTTCACCTGTGAGTTCGGAGGGTCGGAGCGTTCGGAGCGTTCGGAGCGTTCGGATGCTTCCTCACTCGCCTCTGCAAAGAAGATGTCACCTTCAAAGCAGCCCTCGGGGATGGTGACATCCACCATGTCCACTCCGTTGGAGCGGGGCGTGTCGGACTTCTTCGCCTCAAAGCATAC